GAGCTACTTGACCGACGAGGGGCGTATCGCCCCTGTATGCTCGCAGATGAGTATCATCCGGTCAGTAGCTGTTATTGTATGCGAGCACATGAGTTATTTCAGCTCTCACGCCAGACTGACCACACCCGTCTGTTTGTAGCTTATATTAAACAGACTGATGTGGCGACTGCTCCCTGTCCCTCTCAAATTCAGCAAGTGGTCGACCGGTTCTCATACCTTATACAGAAGCCTACTGGACTTGTCCAGCTCCTGCCTGGCGCGGTCCCTCCCAAGGGCCAAGTCTACAGGATGTTCCCTGATGAACTTGATGAGTTCAGGAAACAGCTGGAGACCCTGACCAGCAAGGGTTGGATACGTCCCAACACATCTGAATTTGGGGCACCAGTTCTCTTTGTTCCAAAGGGAAATGGTGAGTTCAGAATGTGTGTGGACTACAGGGGACTCAACAAGATCACGAGGAAGTCTACAGAGCCTCTTCCTCAGATCGATGATCTGTTGCACATGGTGCAGGGCTGCACTATCTTTAGCAAGATCGATCTCAAATCTGGCTTCCACTAAATTGAGATGGTTGAAGGTGATGTCCACAAGACAACCTTCAAGACCAGTTATGATACATATGAATATCTGGTTATGTCGTTCGGTCTTTGCAATGCCCCTGGCACCTTCTAGACAGAGATGCATCGCATACTCAGGCCTTACCTGGACAAGTTTGTAGTTGTTTATCTGGATGAAATCCTGATATTCAATCATACTGTCCAAGAGCATGCGCAACATCTGGCTCTTGTCCGCCAGGCCTTACATGACAACCAATATAAGATGAACAAGGAGAAATCCTCTTTTGGAGTGAACTCTGTTGTCTATTTGGGTCGTGTCATCTCTGGAGAGGGGTTGGCTCCTGAAGCAACGAAAGTTGCTGCTGTTCAGGATTGACCGAAGCCTTTAATAGTCCGTGATGTTCGGTCTTTCCTGGGTCTTGCTTCTTATTACAGGAAGTTCATCAAGGACTTCCGATCTATTGCAGCACTTTTGACTAACCTTACTAAGAAAGACACTCCCTTTCTTTGGACATTAGACTGTCAGGAGGCATTTACGCGTCTCAAGGAGGCCTTGATTCGTGCACCGATACTGAAGTTACCTGACGCTACTTCGCCATTTGTGCTAACCACTGATGCTTGTCAGTATGGTGTGGGGGCGGTACCTCGGCAGGACAGTGGGAATGGTCTGCAACCTATCGAGTACATGAGCAAAAAGATCAAAGCTAAGAAGCTGCAGGACTCTACTTATGAGAAAGAGTTGTATGCCCTTGTGTCAGCGCTCAAGCATTGGAAACATTTTCTCCTGGGCAGGCACTTCCGAATCTTTTGAGATCACTCCACCCTTCAGTGGATGAAGTGCCAGGGAAGAGCTGAATGACAAGTTTGCCCGCTACATTCAGTTCATTGACTTATTTGACTTTGAACTGAAGAAGAAGAAGGGCTGCTACAATCGAGTTGCAAACGCCCTTTCTCGTAGGCCTGGCGTTCTCTTCCTGATCTCCTTCACTCACTCTTTTGGGGAGAAGACGCGTTAGACCATTGCCCAACTACTGCCCCAGGACCCGATTTTTGGGCCTGTAGTGAGGAATCTGCAGGCCGATCCTGCCTCTGAACCAGGATAGTCTGCTATATACTTGGAGCAGAGGCGAGGAACGCCTATGTATTCCCCAGGATCGCAAGTTGAGAACACTCTTTACGTCAGAGTGCCATGATGCTCGTGGTCACTTTGGGGCCCTCAAATCTTATGCAGCCCTGTTGCAAAGGTTCTTCTGGACAGAGATGAGGAGTGACATTTTGCATTACGTCGAGACTTGTGAGCTATGCCAACGGAACAAGGTCGTACACAAGCCTCCCCTTGGCCTACTCAAACCACTTCGCATCCTTGAGGCGCCTGCACAATTAGTGTCAATTGATTTTACTGATCTGGGCAGGACCACTCCTCGTGGTATGCGTCAGGTTATGGTTTGCGTGGACAGATTCTCCAAGTATGCTGAATTCATCCCTTTACCAGGAGAGGTCAAAGTCCCTGCCGTTCAGGCGGCATTTGTTGACAGGTGGGTTACACACTATGGACCACCCACCTCCATTATCAGTGACCGAGATCCCCGTTTCTGCAGCCATGAATGGCAGTCCTATTGTAGGGACTACCTCCATTCACGCCTGGATATGACATCTGGTCGTCACACTGAAGCCAATTGACAGGCTGAAGTGATGAACCGGATTCTGTTTCAGCTGCTGCGTCCTGTGATCAGTCCGGATCAGCAAGACTGGGATCTGCATTTGCGTCGTGCACAACTTGTGTACAACACGTCTGTCCACTCCTCCGCTGGCTTCGCACCGTACAGATTACACTGGGGTCATGAACCTTGACAGCCTCTCGATGACATTATCGACAAGGCTACCCCCACACTAACACCTGGAACTGCAGAGTTCACCCGATGTTATTGTGTGGATATTGAGCGCACCCGTGCCAACCTGCTCAAAGCCCAAAAGGCTATGATTCAACAGGCCAACAGGCACCGTCGTCCTTCTGCTATTCGCACTGGTGACTGGGTTTGGGTGCTCAGTTCTGAGCTATCACGTGAGGAGGACATTTCCCCCAATACATGGGTCCATTGCAGGTTTTAGATACAGTGGAGGCTGACCCCTTTGGACCATCATATACCGTTGATGTCCCTCTGCATCTACAAACCTATTTGGTCTTCCATGCATCCAAGCTGCTGCCTTTTACTGCCTTTTACTTCAGCTGATGCATTTCCGGACCGACCCCCTCAATTCGGTCCACCTATCCCTGGCAAGGGGTATGAAGTGGAATCGATGAGGATGAGATGGGCACAGGCCTAGACATGCAGTATCTTGTGAAGTTCCTGCACCAGCCTCACACTGAGGATCACTGGTTCACACGCAAGGAACTCATCAGAACAGCAAAGTCCGCTGTCCTCAAGTACAATGCAGCCAAGAAGGGACAACCCCTTAGACGCTCTGCACGCCTGCACTCCTAGCTTGGAGGTCCTCGCTCCGGGGGAGGGTAGGTCTGCAATGACTTGCCGATTCTGCGGCCTGCTGCTCGTCGCACCGAGGCTGTAACATAGGTAGGTTAGATTCGCAAATTTGTTTGGCTGAGGGCTAACCGAGATATCTGCCTGTGGGGAAAATTCGTGAGGGACATCTGTAAATTCGAGAAAATATAGGCCTGTACTGACATGAATTCCCACAGCTACCCTAACTGCGAATAGCAGACCCGGGCTACCGCTAGGACAGATGGGCCTACGGGCCTATGCTGTTAGACTGGTCCTATAGCCTATAGCCAGGTAGGGAGAGGCCTTAGAGGCCGAAACCGAAATGGTACCGGTCAGTCTAGTCAGTCCGGTCTAGGTTGTGTCTAGGCTAGGGTAGACTATGAATGGAATTGGGAAGTCTGTTCAGGGCTTTTGGCAGTTGGTACCGTGCACATTGCGAGATGCAACGCGTGAACTGGAGTGGTACAGCTTCAGTGTTGAAGGAGACAGACATAGCCAGACCCTCGAAGCATCGGCCATAGTTGGGACCTTCGCTGTTCTCTTACAGCATGCGGGGCTGTCCAGCGGTCTGGGCTATCTGAGGTCTGCTGGGAGCAGGAGAAGTTGGTGCCCTGCTGAACCCTCCTCAGGAGTAGGGTTTCAGGGTACTGGCGCTACAGCCATAGCTGCAGCTTGCATCCTCAGAGATCATCTTTGTCAGGAGAGGTGGCGCTGCTGAAGATCTTCACCTGGGAGGCCTTCTGGCACTTCATCTTCATCAGAGACTGGCGCTGGTCGTCTTCTTCATCCTCTGAGAGGCGCTTGGCCTCAGAGGCCTGTTTCATGGTGGCGCTTCCCTCTGGAGGCAGTATCTGGGTGGCGCTTGATGTTTCAGGGACTCAGGGGTAGTGATAGCGGTTATTCAGGGTTGGGGGAAGAAGCGCTGCTCATTTCTGAGCAGCGCACCATGGTTCTGGGGCAATTCTGACAAAACGATGTTCTGAACGATGTTCTGAGTTTAATAAACAGTATTGCTACTGTGTGTGGGCTATCTTTGCTTCATTGTTTTCTGGATGTGATCTACACGGCTTTCCTTTGTGACTGGTTGTGAGGATTCTGTGGAGTGATTTGCACTTTCAGTGTACTCTGTCATACCGCATGGTTAAGTCTTCCGCTGTGTTTCTCTCTCCATGTGTGGTGTGATACTCCCATCCTCTCCCCTTCCTTCTGTGTATGTATGGGCATACCTGGAAGTCTATGTGAGCGAGTGTTGGTCTTCTGACAACAAGCAACCAGGTTCATAACAGTATTACGCAGTGTGCATGTGGCGCGTACACACGGTGTGCTGCAAGGGGAAAATTTAGGATCCCCCCCCAAAAAAAAATGTCGGGGGGGGGGGGAGGGGAGGGGGAGCACTGAGTTGGAGTTCCCCTGCCCTGCCAAAATTCAGAGGTGGGCCGGGCAAAAGTTTTCTGGGGCCGTGGTCAACAGCTGAAAAAAAAGAAATAGAAAGAGAACAAGAAAGTTCATGAAGGGTCTTTTCAATTCTTACCTGCCGCATGAACCCGTGTGAGGGCGGGTTCTACAACTATGTCAGGGTAGGGCGTCACTCCATCACTCACCAAATATGGAAAATGAACTTTCAGCTACAACATGGAAAGATACACCTCCGTTGGCCATCTTTCAGAATCACAACGGGCCGAGCTGAAGATTCTGACAGATTCTGACGGCATAGGTGCGCCGCAAGTACAGAAAATAGTCTAAAATACAAACCTCACATTTTACTTTGACAGCAGGCTATTGAGTTGGCGAATCGACAGGCAAAAGCACTGCCTAGTTGGAAAAGCTGTAGTCTGTGATAAGATGAAAGGGGGGAAAAAAGGAAGAAGATAAAAGGCAGGCAAGTTGTTTGGTATTGACTGATGATGGTCTGTTGTTGTGTGCTCTTCACTATTGCATCTAACAG